CTCAGTCCCTTCTAGCTGGGCTGGATCACCTCCTGATCATTTGTCTCTGCTTTATTCATGTCTTCTCTTTGCAGAGGATGTCAAGATAGAGCACATTATTAAATAAATTTTTAATAGCTGCATATTGTATACACAGAAATGTATACATATAAATCATGTGTGTACAGCTGCATGAATTTTCACAAAGTAAACACATTTATGTGTGGCTACTGTGATCAAGAAACAGAACATTGGGCTTCCCTGGTGGCGCAGTGGTTGAGAGTCCGCCTGCCGATGCAGGGGACACGGGTTCGTGCCCCAGTCCGGGAGGATCCCACATGTGGCCGCGGAGCGGCTGGGCCCGTGAGCCATGGCCGCTGGGCCTGCGCGTCCGGAGCCTGTGCTCCGCAACGGGAGAGGCCACGACAGTGACAGGCCCGCGTACCACAAAAAAAAAAAGAAAAGAACATTACTAGGACTTCCAGAAACCTCTCTCATCTCTCTTCAGTCACTTCTCCATTCCTCCTCCACAAAGGTTAATGCTCTTTGGAATTCTAAAGCAATGAATTTGTTTTACTGTTTCTGAGCTGTGTAAGAATGGAATCATACAGCATTTCCTCTTTCGTGTCTGGCTTCTGTTATTTAATGTTGCATTCATGAGATTCTTCTATATTTTTGCATGAAAGGGTAGTTGATTCTTTCTCATTTCTGTATTGTAGCCCATCATGTGAATGTATGAGAAGTTATTTACCCATTTTTTTGTTGATGGGCATTTGGGGCTATTTCCACTTGGGGGACTATTTTGAACAAAACTCCTATGAACATTCATGGTTTTTGGTGAACAAAGGTCACATTTCTGTTGGGCATATTCCTAGGAGTTGTAATTGTTAGGTCATAGGGTGAGGACATACTGAGTTTTCAGTAGAAGCTGCCAAGAAGAGTTTTCCAAAGTGATTGTACTAATTTATTCTCCCAGGAGCAATGCATGTAAGTTCCCAGTGTTCAACATTGTCACTCCTTGATACTGTCAGATTTTTCAGTTCAGCCAGAATGATCGGTGTGTTATGACACTGTTTCAATTTACATTTTCTGAGGACTAGTAAAGTTAATCACCGTTTCAAATATTTATCAGCCATTTTGATATTCTTGTTTGCGAAGCGTCTGTTCATGCCTTTTGCCCATTTTCTTGTCTTTCCCGATTGTCTGCCTTTCTCTTATTGGCTTTAGAGGTTATTTACATATTTTACACATGAGTTCTTTGTCAGATACATTTATCACCAATATTGCCTTCCACTCTGTAACTTGCATTTTCATTCCATGCATAGCATCTCCTGATAAACAGGAATTCTTAATTTTAAAGTAGTCCAACTTATCAATCTTTTTCTTTTACTTAGTGCTTTATGGATGCTACTGAATAAGTATCAGCCTACCCAAAAGTCATGAGATATTCTTCTGTCTTATATTTAAGAAGTTTTTTTGTTCCACCTTCCACCAGGAGAATATTTTTCCTCCTTTCTATGATTCCTCTACCTAGACAGATAGAATGGATTACCTCCTTTTCCACATCTCTGTAATAGTACGCATTACTTTTACTAGCCCTACTACATTACACACTACCTTGAATCATATGTATTTTCCCGTCTGTCGGCTCTATCTTATTCCCACTCTCCATTCACTCAAACCTAAATCTTTCATGGTCTTTTCACTAAATCCTGGTAGTGACACCTCCTAAGTAACTCCAAAATTGGTCTATTTCTCTCCAGCCCAACTGTTGTTTCCATGGTTTCAGTCTGTGACATCTCATCTTCAATACTGCAGTAGCCCTTAACTAACCGGTCACCAACCTCCAAACTACTCCTCTCTAATTAATTGACCACACAGTAGCCAGAGTGATCTTCCAAAACATTAATAATCTCTTCCTGCTACTTTGTTTTTTAAAACCCTTTTATGGTTCCCATTACTCTCAAATTAATATTCAACTCATTAATGTGCTACAGAGGCCTTCTAGGATATGACATATTATTTTGCCTTTCTCACCATTGATATCTCTGCTTTAATCTCTTAAGATCTTTTCAATTTCCTTGAATGCCCTTCACGAGGACTCTGCTCCATAGCTATGTCCCTGCCCCTTCTTCACTCTTCAGGTCTCATTCTGTGCATCTTTTTATCAAGAAAACTTCCCTGATTCTCTAGTAGGTGAAATTTCCATACTACTGGGTATCAAAGAACCGTCACAATTTTTTTCCATCCAAACTCATTGCACATTATTATTTGTCTAAACCCATGTCTTTTGATAGAGTGTATATTTCCTTGGGGCGAAAAGTATGTCTGTCTTGTTCACCACTGTTTTCTGTGCCTATAGCTCAATGACAACATGAGTTCTTGAAAAATATTTGCTGAATTGAGTTGAACTGATTTGTGCTCATAGGCCCAGGATCTAGCACTGAATTTGGCCCATAGTCAGTCTCGATAAAGGTTTGGTGATTCAGCATCTTCCTAAGCATCAGTATCGATTCAATCACCAACATGGTGGAATGATGATTAAATAGTTTCTATAACATCCCTACCAAACGTCACCAACATATAACCCTAATAACAAGAGAGTCACTATATTTCAGCAGGACATTCCAGGTTTGGACATGAATGTGCATTAGAAGGTCTATTTTATACTGAGTTTAAACTGAGATCTAGTTTAAACCTGGGATCCTTGTAGTTTCCCACATGTAGATCAGGTTTGCCCTATTTTATCCATATTATCGAATTTGACTAACTTTTCTGCAAGACAGCCCTTTAGGTATCCACAGACACATCCTTTTGCTCTAAGTCCACCTTCATCAGTTATGTATTATAAGACACCCTCCTTCAGTTTCTTGATGTCCCTCTTGAAATGTGCTGCCCACACTTGGACCCAATCTTCCAGGTGTGCTCTGACCAATCTAGAACAGAAGAAAGCTGTCATCTCCTTCTTTTGTGTGAATAACATACTGCTCATAATGTAACCAATGGCAGAGCTGGGTTTTAGGACTGAGGCTTAGGCTACAGGTGCTTATTGAGAAAAGGAGTTCAAAATTACATGTGAACATGAATATGCAGAATGAGAAAATTTAGGGACTTAGAAGTGAGGGAGCCCTGGATCTTAAGCTTCCTTAGCTTCACTGTAAATCAGCTTCTAAATGGCCCTAAGATCTTAATAAATTCCTAGTGAGATCCTGTTAATCCCAACTAATTTACTCTGATTATAACTCACCTCCTACGTGCACAGCAGGGTGACCAGACACAGACCGGAGCCGTACTTCCTGGATTCAAACCCTGCTCATTCCACAAGTTCACTGTAGGCATCACAGGAGCTAATATTGAAAATCCTGGCGCACCCAAGGTAGGTCTGTCTTCCTTATTCATTTCTTATCAGGCATTACCAAACTCATCTGTCTACTCTTTTGTCTCCTAAAGGGGTGTAGGATTATTCTTCATGTATTTGAGGTTTTGTGTTGTTGGCTTCTGTTTTAACGCTAAACCACTCTCTTGGCCTGAACTTTCCTGATGGATTTTCATTCATTGCTCCCAAGTGACACCACCAAGCTTGTTGCTCTGTACCACTTTCCAACCATCTTCTATAACAGGAGCATGAATCAAAGAGTTGCCAAGGAACCAGAATATAAAAGTCATATTAGGCTCTGTTTAGCTCGACCTGCCAATCTCAACCCAAATTTCCTCCCACTGACATTCAGAATCACCTTTATCAGATACCTTTCTAAAAGGTCACATTCTTAGTTCGCTCAAAGTTAAAGCATATGACATTTTTTATGACGATAAAGTTAATACACGATCATTGTAGAAAAGTTAGAAAAGGAATTGGAAGACTAAAATAAATCATCCCTAACCTAATCACCCAGAAGTAACCTCTTTTAACATCTCGCATAATTCCTTGCAATGTTATTTTTCCTTATCCTTTTACATTAAGATCATGCCATACATTCAGTCAGAAACCAACCACTTTTTAATTAACATTATAGTAAATCATTTTCACGTATCCTGAAAATTCTTTATAAACAACATTTTAGCACCTGCCTAATATTATGTTGTATGGATGCTACATAATTCATTTAGTCTCCTCATGTGGAAAATTGAGATCTTTACATTGTTTTTTTCTTTGCTATTATAAATTATGCTTTTTAAAACAGCACTATCTATACTTAAAGTTTTATCATTTTTTCCCCCTACAATCTCCCCTCCTCTTTATGATGAATTAATCAGGATAAAATGACTATTTTAAAGAGTGTATTTTCTTCAAGGTCTTGAGTATATATGGAGCACATAACATGTACCTGACATATAATAGATAATAAACAAATACAAATATGTATGTATTTCAACAAATTAATCCTTAGAATTGTTGTAATTTCACTAGCCATGCCTAAGAGGATCCGTCTTTCTATATTCCAGCCAGCACTGAATGTTCTCATTTGTAAACTCTGCTAAAAGCACACACACACACATACACAAATACATATGGGTGTATGAATATACTGAAGACCACTAATGATTAACAAATAAGGAGAAAGAAGTTTACATAGAACCAAAAGTTCTATAAAATGCCCTATAGTTCTTGGAATTCAAATAATATCTGCCAAAATATATTGAGAATCAAACACAATAATGTAGGAAATTCAGAGGCTATGATATGAAACTTTAATATATATTAGATCTGGAACATCTATAAATAACACTGTTTAGACATTTTCATCAAAATAATCAGATAAAGTTCATATTTCCATACTTTATATCTGAAAACTAATTAATAACCATGAATTTAATGTCCCATATATGTTAAAATTTTTAAAAAGACATCATATCACAACTGCCTTAATTTGCATATTTTTAGTTTTTGTTGGTTTCTCTGCCTTTCATCTTAGTTTTCATTCTCCCTCCCCATCATGCCTCCTGATACCCTCTCATCCCTCCTCCCCCAGGCTGCTCTCCCCTCCCCTTCTCTGTTCCCATCATTTCCACTGACATCCTACCTTGAAGGTGCAGTTTGCTCTCCGTGCTTTGCAGAAGGACGGAACTCACAGAGTCCAGATTGTCATAGCTGTTACAGCCCAGAGGCCCAGTGCGTGTCTCTGTGACCTGGAGTGGACATCAAGGGCGACAGATGTGAGACAGATGCCCTTGTCTGGGACAGATCCTGCAGAGTCAGGCCCCAGCAGAGCTCAGGCAGCAGAGAAAGCCTGACCTGAGCCAGTGGCCACTTCTTGAGCCCCTTGCCTGTGTCAAGGACCATGCCTGACTGTTGCCAAGCAGACAACGGGATAGCAGGGCAATCTAGCAGACTGGAGCCAGGACGCCCACGTTCTATCCTTGGTTCTCACTGCACAAAGCCATTTAAAGTATTATATGAACTAAAAATAAGTGGAAACACTATAGTGTATTTCAAAAGCATGGGCTTTGGAGTTAGTAGAGTCAGTGTTAAATCCTGGCTGCGTCCTTTATTTGCTGTGTGCCCTCAGGCAGTCACTTCTGTAAGCCCCTGCAACCTGAAGCTAGTAAATCCTTCCAGGAAGGTGGTGAGAATAAACCTGATGGGTGTAAGTGCCTGACACATGGCATATGCTCAGTAATTGACATCTTATTACCAAGAGTCTCTATAAAATTGTAACGTGCATTATCGATGAGTACATATGCATTATCATTAGGCAAGAACAATAAAATTATTTCCATTTTCAAAAAAAAAAAATTAGCAAACAGCACAGTCAGCTCCACTGCAGAATGATCACCCCAACCTCTGGTGGTGTGTTTCTCAAACACTGTCTTAGAATAATTGAGGTGGTGGACAAGAGGGAAACAGCTAATCTAAAAGATAACCTTGAAATATGAATGGTTTAGTATGTAAAGTGGTTTCTTCATGTCTTTAGCCTTTACTTTCCATTATTTAACACAATCACTTGTAGGCTTGTTTTGAGGTTTGCATCCAGATGTAAGGACACAGCACTGACTGTTGTCAGGAATGATGACTTGGGAAACAGTCACACAGATCTCCCAATGCCAGCTCTGCCCCTGTCCAGCAGCAGAGCCTTGGATCACTAACTCCTCTTTCTAAGCCTCAATTTCTGCATCTACACAATGTCAGTAATACTGTTACCCACCCTAACGGTAAAGGGATCATATTTTTGAAGTATCTAGCACTTAGGAAACAGTACAAAAATGGAAGGTTATTAGGCTTCGCTTTTAAAAAATAATTTATTCTTTTTTGTATACAGAGTAATGACCTCGTTACTGTTAAATGAGATTCAAAACTACCAATCCATCTTGCTAAAGATGCTCAGGAAGAGAAACCAAGGGCAAAACTTCCCCACCTGGGTCAGCTGCTCATCTTAGACAAAGCTGGCAGGGAGACCAATTCTAGCCAGCTGGGTCTTGAGGTAGCGTCAAGAAATGGCTAGAAAAATGCAAGTGCCAGATTGAGCGTCGAGGATGGTGCTATTGCAAGAATGGCTTCTTGAGTGGCCTGTGTGCAATTTCTCTAAGAAATTCCTCGTAAGGAGGCACACCGCACTTCCGGGATGCACAAAAGAGCATGACTTCTGACAGAGCTTCAATATCTCAATTCCGCATCCCATCCCGCGGGCAGGGAACCATTTGGTGATAATGAAAACCAGGCCTTTGCTTCATTCAGACTCCGAGGGCTTCATCAAACTCCATCTCTCTGTGCTGAGCTCCCTAACACCATAATCCCCCCAATATAGGCGATTCTTCTCAGATAAGCTGGCTCTTTGTTGATCTGATTTATTTCTCCCCTTCCTCCCTCCCTCCTCAGCAAGTCTCTCCCCTCCCACATTTTTTCTCTTCCCTTGGTCAGTTTCTGACTCATCTGCCTGACTTCCACCAACACTCCCCGGCAACCCCTCATCCCTTCACACACACACACTTTTTCCCTAGAGATACCTTTTAAAGTCTTGATATAAGACTAGGTCTGCATTTTATTCAGAAGAAAGATGCTCAGGAAGAGAAAACAGACTGAATAATGAGGTAAAATGCAGGTATAATCTGGTTTAAGAAACTTTGAGATGCAAAAAAATCTGTATTGAAACCCTCCAAAGAACTAATCCTTCTCTATCAAAAATATCCTCCTTTATTCTCTTTATAAAGGTAATCCTTGAATTTACTGCATTTAAAGTGGAATTTTTTTAAGTACCTATGCTCTAAGGCATTGAGCTGAAAGTCTCCACAGCTGCTCTTACCAATGTGGCTATTTAAACTTAAATAAATTAAATAAAAAAAAAAAACCTTACAAATTTAGTGTCTAAGTAGCCACATGTCACATGCTCCATAACCCCATATGACTAGTGGCTCCTGTCTTGGCCAGCACAGATACAGTCTCTCCATTATCTTGGAAGGGTCTATTGGATAGCGCTGGGGTAGATGAGCATGGGTCTGATTTATAAATAAAGTTTTATTGGAACACAGCCATGCCCATTTTTTACACATTGATTGTATGGCTAATTTTGTGCTATAGCAGCACAGTTGAGTTGTAGTAATACCGATCATATGACCTGCAAATCTTAACATATTTATTATTGACCCTTTACAAAAAATCCTCGTGGATCCCTGGTCTAGAGAGTAGAGTTCTAGTCCCTGTTAATGTACTGGCTAGGTGTGTAACCCTGAGCAGAAGTTTTTAACCCTTGGACCTGAGTGTTCCCGTCTGTAAAATGGGGAGGGAGCATGAAAAACACAGGTGTTAACCAATTACTGACCTAGGCATAATCTGACTCTTGAGAGCTCTGTGACCTTTCGAAAATGATTTACCCACTGTAGCCTGTTCCTTCACCTAGAAAGGGAGTCTGGAAATCATCCACACAGAGCTTTAAGAGTGAAGGAGAGAAAGCCGGGACGAAGTGAGAGAGGGGCATGGACACGTATCCGCTACCAAACGTAAAACAGATAGCTAGTGGGAAGCAGCCGCATCGCACAGGGAGATCAGCTCGCTGCTCTGTGATGACCTAGAGGGGTGGGATAGGGAGGGTGGGAGGGAGACGCAAGAGGGAGGGGATATGGGGATGTATGTATATGTATAGCTGATTCACTTTGTTATACAGCAGAAACTAACACAGCATTGTAAAGCAATTATACTCCAATAAAGCTGTTTAAAAAAAAAAAGAGTGAAGGAAAGTACTATGGATAATTCTGCCGTGATTACAGCCAGGGCTGCCCCAGGAAATCAGTACATGTGGTCACCTTAATGACAATGCTCAGGATATTATGGGGCACTTGACAACCTCAGGCAGAGTGGTTGGTAGGGGGGCACTGTTAGCTCCCTGGGTAAGAAGCCAGGGATTTCATCTGCCCATTGACTCTCAGACTACCTTTGTGCAGTGCTGTTGTCTTAAGAGCCTGCCACCCAAAGCCACCCTCAAGCCGTACCTTGATTGCTCCAGTTGATATCTGGATCTCATGGAGCCTCCTCATGGTGCCATCACGGTCGACAAAGTAGGACGATGCCAGCTGGTGCAGAGCTTCAACACTTTGAGTGGCATTCCCTGACTTCCTGTCCAGGTGACTTTTGTCCATGTACATGGTCAAGGCCTCCTCCCCTGCACAGAAAAGGAAAGAAGCTCAGGCAGCCCGTTGAGCTTTGGGATGGGTAGAAAGCCTTCATGGCTTGGATGCCGAAAACAGCTTCAGACCTGTCATTAATTTTGCCCAAATTTCCTTCTGCCTCTGAATATCAAGAGCACAATGAAAGCAAGACAGTCCAGAGGTGTCTGTAAGCACCAAGCTCCATCAGGACGAAGATCATGAAAAGCCTCTTAGTCATCAAGTCCAGCTCTTACTAATCCACTTCATAGTTCTCACCAGCATCATCTCGTAACACAACTCACTTCCTCTCTTCAAGGCTCAGCCTTTTCTGTAAAATGATGGATTCGCCATAGATGGTCCCTTCCCATTCCTTTCTCCTCCTCCTCTGTTTCCTCATCATCATCCAATTCCACCTATTCCTCCTCTCATTTCTCCCCTCTCTTCTTCCCTTGTTCCTTCCTCCTTTCCTTTCTCTCTTTCTCCTTCTGCTACCCCTTCCCAGACAGATGGATGTATGGATGGATGGATAGATAAATAGAGATATAGATAGAGAGAGAGGGAGAGAGATAGAGAGATAAGACATAGTTTAAACACAGATACAGACAGATAGAAAAAACTAAACTGTCAGCCCTGTGAAGTCAGACACTGTCTATATTAGCCACTGCTGTATCCCTTGTACGAAGCCCAGTGCTTGGCATATAGTAGATAATAAATAGTTAATCCACCAATTTTTTTCATTCATTCAATAAACATTTCTTAAGTTACATCTTGGAGAGAGAGGAGATGACATGAAAGTTATGCATAGGGTGGAAGAGACAGAGAGAGAGAGAGAGAGAGAGAGAGAGAGAGAAATAGAAAATCTTATATAATTTATCGTGAAGTTTTCCTTAGAAATATATGCATAGATTACTAACAGTACTAACTAATGGTGCATTTTATTTTGGATAACAAGATGTTTCACCAGAACTTCATAAAGGAAGCTCCAGATATGCCACCTAAATAGATCTGATCATTGTACCGCTGGTTTCACTCTCAACTAACTGTGAACTTGGGGACATTTCTTAACCTCTCTGATTCTCAGTTTATTCATGAACAAAATTAGGAGAAGAATAGCACCTACTGCATAGAATAATTAAGAAGAATAAATTAATACACGTGAAGTCCTTATATCATTGTCTGTTCACTGTAGCAATCAAAAATCATTTGGAGTAGTAGTAGAAAGCAGTCTCTAGAACTAGACTGCCTGGACTTGAACTAGCTATGAGAACAAGTTACCTGCACTCTTTATACCAGGGGTCGCCAACCCCGGTCTGCGGCCTGTTAGGAACCAGGCCGCACAGCAGGAGGTGAGTGGCTGCGAGCTCCCCACCCCTCCCCACCGCTCCCA